TCTGTTTTGCGATCAAGCCCGCTTAAAACATCGTCGAGGAGAGCAATCACAGGCCGAGAATACACTGCCCGCGCAAGAGCAAGACGCTGCCTCTGACCACCGCTAAGAGACACTCCATTGGTGCCCACCTCAGTCTCGTCTCCAGCAGGGAGAGAAGCAATATCCTGCTTGAGAGTAGTGGCTTCCAGGACCTCCTGGTACCAAGATGCATCAAATGTTCCACAACCGATGATGTTGCCACGGATCGATCCGTGGCTAAGGAAAGGTTCCTGGCCGCAGTATGCAATGCGATCGCTGGACATAGAGATTTGTCCTCTGAGAAAGGGCAGCTCTTTGAGCAGGCCCATCAGGAGAGTTGACTTGCCCGACGCGATGGGACCAACTACGAAGGTCAGCTTGGCGGAAGGGATCTTCAAGTTGACTCCGTGTAGGATGATATTGGTCTGGTCCCAGCCGAACTCTCCGTCTTCGACCAGGACAGCGACAGAACCTGGGAGGTTACAAGCCAAACCAACGTCGTCTCTGTCTTCGGTCACGGTGTATTCGGTGCGACCTTCTCGATCCAATGTGGCTGCGTCTTTCGCGTCCGTTGTTCCAAATGTTAAGAACCTCTCAATACGCTCCAAGCAGGTCAGAGCTGCCATGAGTTGCGGAATGACCTGAAAAAGATGAGTCAGGGGGTTGCAGAGAAGCTGTACGTAGGCGAGCGAAGTAAAAACGTTTTGAACAGTCAATGTGCTCCCGGTTATAGCGAATGTGGCCGCAGGCGAGATCAGCAAAGGGGCATATCCCGCGATAGTGGCGTACGTGACTAGTAGCCTAAACCTCTTCGCGCCATTCAGTTCGTCCTTTCGCCGTCGCGTGATCGCCCCAGTCACCCGAGGTGCAAGGCTTGAGAGCTTGACGGGAATCATGGCTGACAAAACGTCTGAGGTTGCTCCGACGCGTTTCTGAATTGTTCTCATCCATTCATTTCTCCGTCTGCCCGCAAATCTTCCGATGGCAAACGACGATATCGCGCATAGCAGTACCACAATAAGTGGTCCTGCGAAAGCCACCCCTAGCTGGCGTTGTAAAAGCCAGCTTGCTATGCCGACTTCGATCGGGTTAATCCAGCATTCATGCAGTTCGTGGAACCCGTTTTGTATCATCGACACGTCCGAGTCCATGAGAGTTAGGACAGAAGTAGCATCTTTCGCGGTAATGCTGAGCTCTGTTGTTGCCTTGAAGATCGCACCCGTCAAGCAAGCGCGCAAGCTGGTCAGGAATCTTTGATGAAAGTACCAATAGAAAGCGGTGCTGACGGCAATTCCGACGTAGATGATGCTAGCCGCACCAATGAACCCATATGCCTCGTTGCAGGATCTCGTTGTCACATTCTGCAAGTAGGACAGGAGCGAGTTTATGAGAAACGGCTGGCTGAAAGCAAAGGCACCCAAGACAACTCGGGGTAATACCGGAAGCAGAATTCGCCAATGTAGAGTCGACGCCAGGGCCCACAGGAGACGTCGCCGTCTCGATTTGCGGCCGGCAGCGATCCATGAGCTGCGGAATTTTCCGTTGTACTGTTCTGCTGATAGCTTTGCATCGAGTGGAAACAAGTGTTCCGGCGTCATCACCTTCTTGTACCCAGTCGCAATGAGCCGGTTCAACCAAAAGAAGGAACCAAGAGCAAACAAGCCGGAAAGGCTTTCTGGGCTGCCGGCTTTAACCGATGTCCATGGTACCTTGCTCTGGGCTTCAAGGAGAAGAACTGAAATCTTGGAGCCAATAGCGGCCGTAAAGACAGCCGTCATGGCCGACTGAGGCCGCGATAGCCATAGTGTCCTAGCTCTGGCAGCATCAAACAGCAAGGTGAGAAGTAGGTAGCCGTTGAGAAGGAAAGACGACCGGGGAGATCTTGAATGCTCCAGCACGGAGAGAGCGAGGAAGATAATAGCGTCCACAAGATAGAGTGTTGCAGAGACAATTCCTCTGGCGTCCCAGGCAGTAAGATCCTTGCATTCCAGAACCAGAAGTGAAAGCTCCAAGCATGCATACAGAGCAATTGCTGTCTAACAAATGGTCAACATGAGAATGGTCGTCCGGGGTGGCAAGCCCGGAACACCAACTTACCAGTTTTAGCAACTGAAATTTGGGAGCATCAATCACCGCTGGCTTCGAATGCAGGTACCAAATGCGAGCCAAAGCTAGCACGATGAAGCAAGCGGATGGCGTGATAGCGAAGAACGACTCCTCGAAGGCAACCGTAAAATCGAAATCATCACGGCACCCTATGACAGTCGGACCAATGACTGCACCATCGTTCTGGCAAGCGATAGTCAACGAGTCGTTCAGCAACATACTTGCGACAATCGCAAGTCACAAACACCGAGACGTTATGGCCTTTAGTCGTTTCAACGTTGCGTGTTGGTGAGAGTGCCAACATTTTAAGCGGTCGTACCTAAGTGGAAAAACGCAGTATATATGTATTGTTGCCTTTCAAGTAGCTAACGAGCAGCGGAGCGTAGGCAAGCATTGACACGCAATCATCGCAATGATGTGCTAGGTGCTTTGCTGCACTCATTGTCGCACATAACCCCTGGCCATGCAGACAAATGGTAGAAGGAGCCGGGCTGACTAAAAAATATGCCAACAACTGTAAACTATATGACACTGGCTTCGTAAAGGTCACGGAAAGGAACCCAGCAGTTGAATTTTTTGTTGATTTCGAACATGTTGCAGAGCCAATGCGCTGAAGAAGGCCGAGTAAGACTGTGCCAACATGAAAATATTGAAGGCCAGCTACACACTGCTCATTTGAATGCCTAACACATCACAGCTATGATATCTCGCTGAAGGTAAAGATTTGCATATTATGACACGTTCCGCATCAGTAACACCTATGAAATAAAAGCCACGGCCTATTAGCCAGATTGTTGGGTTTTCAGAGCATTAGAGCCGCGATACCGCCAGCAACAGCCATCAAGCTCAACCCAGTGGCCGCAGCACCAGCCGTGGATACAGTGGCCGTTGGCGCTGTCACGGTGCCAGTGGCCTTCCCGGTACTAGTTAGAGTCTTTACCGAGCCTGAAGAATCCGTCGTGGTCAGAACCGTGGTCATGACACTAGCGGTGGAGGTCATGGTGGCATTGCCGGTCATGGTAGCATTGCCAGCCATGGAGGAGGCACTCGACGGCTCGATGACGTTGTCGTACAGCCCGCACATGGCGCCGTCTGCGAGAGGGCAGTCGGGCTCGATGCAGATGGCCTGAAGCGCGGGCCCCTGGGGTGGAATGACCTCGACGGCCGGTGCACATCGGCGACCGAACAGGGTGTTGAGTGCGGTGCCGACGGCTGTGATGTCAGCCTCGGCGACGCCGAACGATGAGGCCGCCAAAGCGACCTGTGTGACGAAGTAGCCGACCTCAGCGTTGCTAAGAGCCATGAACTTGTGTACTTCGTACATGGACGCGTCGCCGGTGTAGGCTGGGAATGCCCCCATGCCATACTGGCTGCACTGGAGCAGGCCGCCGAAGAATTGGTAAAGATGAGTCAAGAGGAAGCTGTGGTGCAGAGTTGGTCAGCACACGTGAAGTAGGTGCTAGTACATGAAGGAAGGAAGCAACCGAGCGACGTACTATTGATTGGACGTGTTGTCGTTGGCAGGCAAGTTCTTCTGCAGAGGAGCTGCGCCGCCGCCGTCCAGGAAATTCACCGACTGTCCTGTGTTGCCTCCTCTGTTCGTAGAGGCGAGAGCACCGGTGAAATACGGTGCCAAGTTCACATCTGTGCCATCGACCGTGCCTGGGGCAAGAATACCGGGGACGACAACGCCGACATTAGGGGCAGTGTCTGTTTGTATCGCCTAGAGTCAGTCGATGGCCGGGTTCCCGATTCTACCACGACAGATGGGATATAAGCGCTTACAATTTCCGATGACTACCGTGTTGACCAAAAGCGTCAACAGCGTGTACTGGTTCTCGGACGTGTTGTTCGTCAGGAGGGCCGTAGTGTAGTAGTCACAGATGGACACGTTGGATGGCCTTTGAGCAACAACGCCGCAGACCACCGCGAGGACACTGATGACTTTCTTAGACAGCATTTTTGGGTTGCTTTCTGTTATGGTAGTCCAAAGGTGCCTGGTACTGAGGAGAGGGGGGACATCAAGGCGTAAAGTCGGGAGTACAGAAGACTTATGAGGCCACGCCGTTCACTCCTCCATCGCATACAACGCAACCTCAGACATAGACAAGTGGTCCAGTGCTTCACCGACGTGACATTAGGATACCCGAGCAACCGGAAAGCCTCGATCCCGTGAGTACCAAATTAGCTGGCGATCTGAGAATCGCTAGCATACCAGCTAACAGGCAGATCATTTCCCACGATTGGGGGCTGGTGTTGGCATGTCTCTCGCTCTTCAACGACCCCTTGGCTCGACACGCAGGGTAGCTTCTTCCACACTCCTTACATCTCGGCCCCAAGGTTCGCCCGAGTGGACGTTAGTTTAGCTAATCCTGGACGAGGTTGTGATTCGGATGTGTCGACCCTGGGGCGCACCAAGGGGTATGTCGATAGAAGCTAACAATGTACGATGATACCAATCGCCGAGAGCAGGCGTCCGCAGACTGGCAGGTAAGCGTTTACAAGACGCTTGCATCCGACCAGCCAATGATGGTCGTTGCATTTGAACGAACCCTAATGGTATGCCATCGTGGCAGTGTTGATCTTAGCGTTGGTCTCCCGGCAGCGCAGCATACCGAGAGCTTGAGTGGGCGCGGTAAGTTCCTTTCCGGGTTTGTATGACGCGTAGAATCAGAACAGCTAAAAGCTAAAAGCTACCTACAGACAGAGTGACTAAAGGTAGTCGTATGTAACATCGCAAGCGCGAGCATTACTTTAGCTTTAATCCTGCTATTATTAAGGAGTAGGTAATTCAAATCATTCGCGATGTTTTAACTTCGCTGAAGTAAGGAAAACAAACAGACAAAAAGATAACACGAAAAAGAGATGCAAAAGAAGGGCCTTGCCGGGATTCGAACCCGGGACCTCTCACATTTTCTGACCTCCATAGGAAGCCGGGGAGTTGATTCCCCGAAGCGAGAATTATACCTCTAAACCACAAGGCCAGGAATTGTTGAAAACAGTGCAATTAAAGGTAGATATATTCATTCTGCGGGGCTGTGTGGCTGTGTCTGGGGTTATTACGTAACTCTTGAAATGTTAAGAAAGCTACACATCCTTGCCGGAATTACTAACAGCTTGTTCGATGCTATTCAGAGGTGGGGAGCCCTAGAATTAAGCTTCTCCCTTGTATCGACCTTCTCTCGAAGGTTCAGCAAAGGAGACTGAGCTGAATTACCGCTCAACTGAACACCCCTGGCGCTATAGAAGGGTGCCTCAGTCCGCCCTTGGGATCCAATAATGGGATGTGACGAGTCCTAGTCCTATGTGACGTTGACTTGCTGGTGCTATGAGGCCAAGACATAAGTGAATCACTCAAATGCGTCCCTTTGCGTCCCTGCCCGCAGTAGCCCGCAGGAGCTACCTTGCCAATGTTTATTGTTTGAGAAGACATTCCGGGACTACCATCTGGTACAGGAATCCAAAAAACACAAGCGTCGCTCGATATTTGTTGCTTCATCTCTCAACATGCTTGATGTATTGAGACACTGCATTCTATGATAACGGCGCGCTGCCACGGCGCCGGGGTGAACGCCCCAGTTATCAGGCAACATGCAAAGAGGGCCACAAGAATCGTGATTCAGTGCCCTCGGAAGACGCCGCCGGAGCAGAAAGCTCTCGTCGACAATATTGTAATCCCTCTATTGCAAATATGGTGTTCCTTCTCGCCAGTACATTCTTAGCTCAGCGAGAAGCAAGTGCTTGCAGCTGCCAGACGCTCCCCGGCCGGCTTTCAATGGTCGACAGTGTCTCATCATACTGTCCCCTTTCTCAAACGCGGAGAGTCACCTTCCGCCTCCTCCAGTGGCGGCTCACCACGGACATCGAGAACTTGCTCGGTTATTGACCGATCTGGGCGCCAAATGTCAATGCTAGCGGACCCTCTCTAGCTACCAGTCCTGCAGAAGGAAGTCCCGCAAGACTCTCGATTCGCGCAGACAATCCTCGAGAATAATCCGAGTCCAGTGATCATCGATGCAGAGGAGGAACAACAGCATTTATCATTAGCCAGCTACCGCAGGTTCCGGGCCACATTGCGTTTCCGCTCTAGCGACGCGATGCGACCGTCAATTGAAGATGCTATGTCGTCTCTTTGAACGCTAGCGATGACGCCGATGACGTGTGCGGATCTTATGGTTCGCCGCTCTGTGCGACGAAGTGTTCCATGAAGAACTATACTGGTAGAATACAGTCCGACTGTAAGCAGTGACCTCAAATATGCGCCATGAACGCAGATGGTTGATTCACACTGGGGCGACGAGAACGGCCTGGACATAGATACGAAACCGGAATGATAAGCGACTATTACTACAACGACAAGAGCTACTAAGAAGCGGAGGAATACATGCTGAGGCAGGATACGAGACAGTCAACCTATCCTCCTGCCCACCAGTGATTTTAACGTGCTGACGAAGTGATGAAACAGACCATTCCGTGCATCGATACCCAATGCTCCATAACGTATATAATACACACGTATTCCGCCCTTGGAGTGCCTCCTAACCTCAGGTGTACACACTCTCCGTCCAGGCGTTGACCTGTAGGCCGGTCTCCGCCATGTTGGAATCCTTCAAGAAGTCTAGTGGCATCCACACAAGGTGGCCTTTGACCTTATCAAGCTTCTTGCGAATTTCATCTGGCGGTAGCATACGATCGAAGATGTGACCAGCCTTGACACCTTTGGGCGGAGAGAAGGTGTTGTAGTCGTCGAACGATTTCACTGAGTCCTCTTGTCAGTTATTGTGAACTTTAGCATCTCAAAGTCTCCAGACTCACCGTGGTCGTCCGGGTCCGCATGGAACAGCTGTCGATAAACCAAGGTGTTTTCTGTGGCTTGCTTGGTCCATGTATCCCAAAGTTCGTCGCTCAGCGGATCTTCGACAAAGTTCCACGAGTCGTCCTTGTCATAGGGATCATTAGGCGAGTCATCTCCTGGCGGCTGTGCGTTGGGGTCATTGCTAGCATCCAAGTCTTGAGGGGGAAGCAGTCCAAGGTGTTCTCTCCAGAGATATCGCCGAAGGGTGGCAGCGTGCCACCCGGCTTCGTACGGTTGTCCGTCCATCTTTGTCTGAAAGCGGCGTGTGTCTTCCAACACGATGCTGAGTTCGCTGTCGTGAGTTCCGAGTTGGCTGCGATCGTTGAGGTTGCTGGATCCACATACAACGATGCGGTCATCGATGATGAGGAGCTTTGCGTGGATGTATAGTTCCTCCTGGATCCAGTTCTCGACCTCGTCTTCTGGGTTGCCTTCCCATGGCTCTTCCGAGAGCGGTCCGGTCCCGGCCATGGCATGGTGGCCGACGCTATAGCTCGTGGTTGTCTTCTTATCTTTGTCTTCGGCTGCTTCAAACTTCCTCTTTGCATCAGTAGCTTGCTCCTCGTCATCATCCTTCCTCTCTTCAGCCAAGTAAGCGTCTCTGGGCTTCGGTTGTTCGGATCGCTTGCCCATGTGTCGGTCTCGATCTCCCTCTGTGTCTTGGCTTCCGTGGATACCTTCACCCATAATCTCCTCGGCTTCGGCGCGCTGAACGTCCTGGTACTTGACGCCGGACTCCTCCTCCTGCTTCTTGATGGCAGGAGTCTTGTTCAAGCGGTCATAGGTTCTCAGGTTGAAGAAGAAAATATGGTTGGTTGGGTCGACGCCCTCCTTGCGGACTTGTTCGAATATGCTATCTGGGCCGCGGCATATTGACTTATATTGATAATCCATGATCGCCCGGGTACCGATGGCGGCATCATCTCTGAGATCGCCAGCAAACCCAGGGACGGCGGGAATGAGGATGATGACACGGAACTTGCGGCCTTCCTTGCCCGCTCGCACCACAGCATCGACGATCGCACGTCCAATAACATTGTGGATCGGGCTCTGATTTTCTCCAGTAGCTGTAATGAAAAACTGATTCTCGATGTAGACATAGTGCTGAGCGTTTCGAATCAGTTCGCAGTATGCGTTCTGAATGGAGTGCTCCGTGAGAATACCACTGGACCAGTCGGCACTAGATCGAACGACCTGTGCGCGGACCGTCCCCCTATTCTCGGTGTGCTTAGTTTCGAGAGGTGAGTACGGGTGTAGAATGTAGTCGCCTTCGGGGAACCGAGGCCGTTGAACACCCACAAGATCTTCGTCGTCTCCCTGGCGGCCACGAAGCTCCAGCCAGTCAAAACGCTCGTCACGCTTGTACTTATCCCTCTTCACAAAGTTCCAGCGGAGAACAAAGTGTTCAGCGATGTCGTACACCGCCGGGCCGATGAGACCCATATGCACGTCGTGCCACGGCATACGACCGTATTCGGCCTTGCTCAGCTCGTTCTGCTTCCAGTCACTGACATTCTTGAAGTCCATGACGCGATTGTTATTGAAGTCCTGTCCCGGCCAGATCTCGTTACGTACGCCCTCGGGATGGACGTCGGCCAGAGTATGCTGATGGTTATCCCAGCGGCCGAAACACAAATCCAGACCACCAATGAAGGCCATTTCGTAGTCGATTACAATCATCTTCTCGTGATGAGCCCAATAAAAGGTCATGTCGGCGGCATTCTCCAGCACGTTGTGGTCCGGATGGCGCATGACGTGGATGTTACCGTAGCCCGGAGTCCCCTCTGGGCAGAGTGATTGTAAGGCGTGCTTGGTGTGCTCCGAATTGCAGGTTAACGCTGCCTCAACTTCGCGGTATACCATAACATAGATCTTGACGCCCGCCTCCGCCCGCCTCTTGAGGACTTGGTCAAGCCTCCACTCCTGGTTGTAGTAGGGAGGTCTGCGAAGAAAGAGCTCGGGCGAGAGCCACCAATCCATAATGTAGATAGACTCCTTTGCATTGTCGAGCGCGACCGAGACAGCCCAGAAGTAATCCCTACCATCCACGTACCACTTCACCATGTTGCCATCCCGCTCGGGGAAGTAAGAGTGGAAGCGATGGCCCTCGGCGATCCTGGCCCTCTTTTCATCTGTTGCTTTCTCATGTGCTTCGTCGTGGCGATGCTGAGAGTTGAACTAGAAGCCTTGGTTTCAGTATATTCCTTCAAGGCTGGCCTAAAATCTCGCGACCAAAAACTTACGAGATTTGCAAACTTGCCAATTTTGTGCCTGTTCATGGGCGTAAGCAAAATGACCAAGGTACTCTATGGAGCGGCGGACATTACTTCTCGTGATGCAGGTAGACCTTTGCGTCGTGCAAATGGGTGCTGTGCAGCTTCTCTTTCAGCTCATGGAATGGATGCTTGAGCTTGTCCGAAAGGTGGTGGTGATCACCATCCTTGCTCGCACTATCATTGCTATGATCGGCCATCTCGACGGTGTATAGTCTATGCCTTGTGGGGGCGGTACGGATTACGCAACTTGACAGTCCGTCTTCACATCTGCAGAAAGACGTGAAGGGAACAAAAGGTCATGAGGACGATGATAGAAGAAGTTGTTGTAACTGTTAGGATTTGTGGCGGGTAAGCTAGCTTCAAAGCAGGTTAAAACAATCGTGCCATAGTGCTAAGGCATGACATGCAGGCTGCAGTTCAGCTCATCGCAATCCGTGGCCTTGGTTACGAGGAACTGGAGGGTCTCGAGGGCCAAGATCAGGGTTGGTTGGCCAAAGGTCGTAAAGACGGGGGCCAAGGAACCTGAAGCCATCCTTCCACGCAAGCTGGAGAACAGCTGACACAAAGGGAAACGCAGGCGGATTAGGGTGACGTCACCGACACTCCCACCTCGAAACCTTGCCCTCCTGTCGGGACTTTTGCCTGCACGGCTCGAGCAGCTATCCGTGTCAATGCGTTCGGAAAGCTCTTGTCTACACTTGGATCACACATGCGAAGCGGAACTTTAAGTTGCGGGTAAAAGCTGGTAACAGCTAGCACATGAAGATTCACTCACGCCTCCACCACATGAAATGCCCTGTAAGGTAGGTCGCGGTGAGTAAGGCATGGAAATCCGGACCCGCCATTTACCACT